GCCATCTTTCCTGGACCCCTGCATTACAGAGCCATGCAACGCCTCAAGACAAAGTTCCTTCGCAAAGACCCAACATACGACCAACCGGTCCCCATGTCGGACGAAGTTCGGGAGGAACTGCACTGGTGGCTGAACTGCATGCAGGCTTGGAATGGCCGGGCGAAATCAACCAGACTTCATATTGGAGTCAGACGCCAGCCGCTCAGGCTGGGGAGCAACAGACGGCACCTCCTCCACGGGGGGAGTGTGGACTCCCCAAGAACTTTCGATGCACATCAACTGTTTGGAGCTCCTGGCGGGATCGTTCGCCATTCGCAGTCTGGCAAAAGAACGATCCAACTGCTGCATCCTTCTCCGGATGGACAACGTCTCGGCGGTAAGATACATCAACCGACTCGGAGGCACCCGCTCCCAAGCATTAGTAGAACTCACGAAGGAAATCTTCGATTATTGTCTGCCTCGCAACATCACGCTATTAGCGGAACACTTACCAGGAGAGACCAACACGACAGCAGATTGGTACTCACGCCACTGGAGGGACGCCAGCGACTGGCAACTAGACCCTCACGCTTTCACGATGCTAGATGCACAGAGGGGCCCCTTCTCCCTGGACTTATTCGCCTCCCGCAACAACCGTCAGACGAAGGACTTCTTCAGTTGGCTCCCAGATCCGGAGAGTCTAGCAACCGACGCGTTTCTGCAACAATGGCCACAACACGGGGCTTACGCCTTCCCTCCATTCTCGATGATTACGAGGGTTCTCCACCGAATCCGCAGGCAGAGGGTGATACTGACCCTCATCGCACCTCTATGGCAAAGCCAACCATGGTTCCCGGACCTTCTGGAACTATCGAACAAGGATCCCCTCCTCCTACCAGATACTCCATCCATTCTCAGGAACCCGATGGGACTTCCCCATCCGCTGGTCCAAGAGGGCCGACTGCCCCTGGTGGCTTGGACTCTTTCAGGGGTTCCTGGCGAACCGAGGATTTATCGCAGGAAACTAGAGAGCTCCTATGGGACTCATGGGCGCCAGGAACAAGGAGGTGCTACTTATCAGCATGGCACTGCTGGACTACTTGGTGTCTGGGACGGGATCTCAATCCCTTTACGGCACCTATTTCCTCCATCATGAATTTCCTCACCTCTCTGTTCACAACCGGGAAGTCATACCGGTCCATCAATGTGACACGTTCAGCCATCTCAGCGGCTCATACGCCGATTCAAGGGACACCAGTGGGCCAGAACCCACTCATCTGTAGACTCCTCCGTGGCATGCGCCTTCGGCGCCCCCCGGAACCCAAATACTCGAGACTCTGGGACGTTGGCATAGTCTTACAGTTTTTACGGGACTGGCCTCCTAATGAGAACTTATCACTCCGCCAGCTTACGGCAAAGTTCACCTTCCTACTGTGCCTAGTCTCCTTTCGTCGGGTGTCCGATGTACGCGCTTTCGATGCCGACGCATTTACCTTCTGCCCAGCGGGAGTAACCTTCCAGATCTCTAGACGCACGAAATCTGACTCTTCCTCTGTTTTTTACCCCTTTTTTCCCTCAGACCCACAACTCTGTGTGGTCTCTACTCTTCGTCGATACGTGGAAGCCACCGCGATGTTGCGGCCTACTTCCAATCGCCAACTTCTCATCTCTTACGTCCGCCCCTACGCTCCAGTCTCGGTTACTACGTTGGCCAGATGGGTTAGATGGCTATTAGCCCTCGCCGGGATAGACCAGGCTTTTGGTGCACACTCAGTCCGAGGGGCCGCAGCCTCTTCTGCCTACGCAGCGGGGGCCTCCCTTCCAGATATTTTACGAGCGGCGGACTGGACCAGAGAATCCACCTTTAGGACGTTCTATTTCCGTCCTCCATCTAACCCAGCTTTTGCTCTACTTACTCAGCGTTGAAATTGCAAAATACGAAGCCTCCTATCATGTGATAAAATTGAAGATTATGCTAGCTTCAGTGTACAGATAATCTTAATTTTAATAATGACAGGAGGCGAGTATTTTCCCACCCTGCTCTCTTTCGCTCTTCCCCACCTCTGTCTTCATGTATATTTCTGTCTCTTTATTCACATGTTTTTGTGCTAAATGCCTAAGTTGTCTTCTTACAATTAATACAGATATTTCATATGGGTGGGATGGCTTAGGTAGCATCAATAGATGGGTGGAATGTATTCGCTCCATTGCAGTATGATGGTTACTTAATCATAAGGGATAGACATCTCGTTGTTTTACACAACCATCTCCGGAATCTAATACCCTTTTACATTCTCGTTTCAGTTTAACCAGATGAATCAGGACACTGAAGACTTCCTTCAAGATATCATCATCATCTTGTCATGGAAGTTCGTCACTTGACACCAAGAACTCTTCCCTGTCAAGAATTCTTCATACGTTTATGTTCTATTTTCATGTTATACGTTATCTTTATTGTTTCTGCATTGTGATCTTGTGATGTTGCATGCTTTAAAGAGGAAATGATGTCATACGTTACACCTCTTATACTCTATACTGCATTGTGATTGGTTCTCAGTTATGTCACTTTTTTCTTTGCTGCTATGGAGTTAGTAAAGAAAGATTATGCAAAATACTCGCCTCCTGTCATTATTAAAATTAAGATTATCTGTACACTGAAGCTAGCATAATCTTCAATTTGTATCAACTTTCTTTTGCTATAATTGAGAGTGATTCCACATGAGAATTTACACATGCGGAATTAGGAGGATTAAGGTTAAGGTTAGGGTTAAGGCAGCTTCAGGTTAGAGTTACCTATTTTCAAATGTACTTGTTTGTCTTCATCCTCATGATACCGAGTCAGATTTAGCCATTAGCTATAAGCCCTCAACCCTAATTACCACAACATTATCCCATCATTGGTCATAGCGCTTTCTAAGGCAGTACATTTCAATGATTTCATACATCATTCATACATTTAAGACTTTTGATGGTGACAATTTAAATTCATACACATTAAGCATATTCAGTAGGCAGTAGGGCTTAGTTCTGATTATAATATTATTTAATATTCTATAATAACAGTTCTGTGTAGCTTTACTCTGTGCAGTCGGGGCCAAGGTGGGTCCAAATAGAGTTCAAATAGCTTTGGAAAGTTGTCAAAAAGGACTTTATTGCAAGGAATCTCCTGCAGCTCAGACGATGTAGAACCACAAACCATGCTGGTCAGGCTCCACCCCCATTATTTAGGACTTTTTATGTATTTTATCCATACTATTTTCTGTGTGTTACCCTTCACGTTTGGGCTTCTATTGTCTTGAGTCGGCCCTTCAATATTCTGGATCTTTTCTCACTGTAGGATCACAGAAAATGCTCAAAAAATATAAGAGATATTTAAGAAAAGGGATTACACTGTAGTACATATACAGTATTGTTGCTTTTCCTTGTTTCCTTGTTTCCTCATGACTGATAAAATTTCCATGGACAGGAGAAGGATATTTATCAGAATACATCACTTTGTGCATTATCCCGTTATGTATACAACTTTATGATCAATCTGAGATTGCATAGTGATTAACATTATATATGTACTTTATTGACTTTTCCCAAACACACCAAGAACATGTTATTTTAAATTATAGTATTGTAGTGTAGTGTTATAAATCTGATTATGAAGTACAGCACATCTCAGCATGGCTGCTCTTCCAATGACTTTCACTTACCCTCAGGTAACCTGAATTCTAGCTCCCACATGACCTTTCTCCATTTTGCCCACATGACAATGTTTCTTCCTTTCGGTATATATTCCACCTTTAGTAAATATTAATGTATAATGTACACTGCTCAAAAAAATAAAGGGAACACAAAAATAACACATCCTAGATCTGAATGAATTAAATATTCTTCTGAAACACTTTGTTCTTTACATAGTTGAATGTGCTGACAACAAAATCACACAAAAATTAAAAAATGGAAATCACATTTTTCAACCCATGGAGGTCTGGATTTGGAGTCACACTCAAAATGAAAGTGGAAAAAGACACTACAGGCTGATCCAACTTTGATGTAATGTCCTTAAAACAAGTCAAAATGAGGCTCAGTAGTGTGTGTGCCCTCCACGTGCCTGTATTACCTCCCTACAATGCCTGTGCATGCTGCTGATGAGGTGGCGGATGGTCTCCTGAGGGATCTCCTCCCAGACCTGGACTAAAGCATCTGCCAACTCCTGGACAGTCTGCGGTGCAATGTGACGTTTGTGGATGGAGCGAGACATGATGTCCCAGATGTGCTCAATTGGATTCAGGTCTGGGGAATGGGCGGGCCAGTCCATAGCATCAATGCCTTCGTCTTGGAGGAACTGCTGACACACTCCAGCCACATGAGGTCTAGCATTGTCTTGTATTAGGAGGAACCCAGGGCCAACCGCACCAGCATATGGTCTCACAAGGGGTCTGAGGATCTCATCTCGGTACCTAATGGCAGTCAGACTACCTCTGGCGAGCACATGGAGGGCTGTGCAGCCCCCCAAAGAAATGCCACCCCACACCCTTACTGACCCACTGCCAAACTGGTCATGCTGGAGGATGTTGCAGGCAGCAGAACGTTCTCCGCAGCGTCTCCAGACTCTGTCACGTCTGTCACATGTCCTCAGTGTGAATCTGCTTTCATCTGTGAAGAGCACAGGTCGCCAGTGGCGAATTTGCCAATCTTGGTGTTCTCTGG